AAGAGTGTCAGGCCCCAGGAGCAGGCCTGGTCTGGGCTTTTCCACTGCACAGGGCACCTCCCCAACTCCCATTTGTCATCTGTGAAATGTGAATGGCAGCTGTAAGGCATTGTTGTTAAGTACATATTATGTAAAACGACACAATCGAAATCAGAGCTCTGAACCGGAAAGTGCTACATATGGATCCCCTTCTCCTTGCTTGGGCTCTTCTATTTTTATCAAATATTGTATTTGGTTTTTCTCTAATAGCTTTTCCCTGGAGGTCAATTAGGTCTTAGCTTTAAGTGGCCTATTCTCCTGACCAGAAGTATGGATTTCTCAGGGAATCTCAGAGATGGGTCAGTAAATAGTCTTTTATTTTTTCTGTTGCCTTCTTTTTTTTTTTTTTTTTTTTTTGTAAACCAAGTGTGGTCACAGAGTAGTTACAGATCGAAAGCCTAGGCTGTCTCTGCCCTGACTGTCCCAGTGCTGACAGAACACCAGAAACGATGGCTCAGTGGTCATGACCAGAGGGACAGCCCTGTGCCGATGTGATTGATGTCACCACATGTGGGAGTACGCTCTCTCCTGACCTTGTTGAAAGATACAGGGTAGGCCAAAGTGCCCACCCAGTGAGGTAGGCTGAGGTGCCCACCCAGTGAGGTTTTACTATTAATTTTATCCTTTGTATAAAGTTATAGAAGAGACTTCTTTAAATCCTAAGACTATCTTGATTGACTAGATCATACTTAAAATTATTTGTAATGGTATTACCTATAAAGAAACTCCAGGAAATAAAGAAGAGAAACACCGTGGAATCACCCTTATTTCATGACGCAAAGACAATTCATTCTTTTTTTTAAAGAATTATTTATTTCATTTATTTGTTTTTGTTGTTGTTATTATTTTTTTTTAATTTGAGCCGAGAGAGAAAGAGACAGAGAGAAAGGGAAAGTCAGAAAGCAAGCCACCAGGTTCAGGACTCAAACTGTGGTTGACCATGTGGGAGTCCAGCACTTTAACTACCGTGCCACCTGCCAGCCCCAAGACAACTAGTTCTAATATTTGGATGTCAACCACGCCTTCATTCGAGTATAACTTTTACACAGTTGTGCTTGCATGCTATGTACTTGTGTATATGTATTTCTTTTTGTCTCATTTTTTCATGGAGCGCTTTACTGTGTATATTATCACCAATTGTCTAACCTCTTTCAACATCCTTCCTGCAAGAGGATTTCTCAGATCTCAATATGCTGAGCACGCCAGTGATCCTGGCTGGCTGGAAGGCGGGGGGTGGGGACATGGTGTGGTGAGACCCTGTCAAGGTTACCTGTCTCTCCCTGTCTCTCTCTTTCTCTTTCTCCCCTGCTCAAGAAATAAACATTTAAGAACTAAAAGACCTAGTGTCTGCCTTCCAGGGACATTCACTCTAGTTACTTATCTATCAGTGTATATTACTGATTCGGATGAATTTTTCCAATAATAAAGTTATCGCTATTTTGTCATAATTCTAGACAATATAGTTCTCTCTCCGTTTCTGGTTTGCCCTCTGTTTTATTCTTTCTACCTTTTTATTTTTTTACATATAATAGTTTAAAGTTTTTGTGTAACTTTAATCCCATTGCTTTTAAATGTACAAATCTCTTCCCTAAAGTAATCAGAGAAAAAGTACCTATATTTTACACCATATTTTTGTGACTCAATTGGTCAAACTTCCTGTAGTTTATTTCAGTATATGATGAGGCAATGAACTATATATTTTCCAAAATCAACTGCATAATTATTGTCTTTAGCTTTAAGTACCAATGATCTTAATGTATAGCATGGTAACTATAATTAGTAATACTCTATTATGAGTTTGAAATTTGCTCAGAGAATGACTCTTAAGTGCTCTCACCACACACACACACGCACACACACACACACACACACACACACACACAAAATCTGGAGACTATGTGAGGTCATGGGTGTGTTAACTGGCTCAGTTGTGGTAGTCATTTCACAATGTACATGTATGCCAAATTGCCATGTTGTACACTTGAAATATATACAATTTTTATTTATTATACCCTAATAAATTTGGAAAAAAAATGATCTACTGTGTACAAAAAAAATGTAGTGATGTTCTAAATTTTATTATTTATCAAAACACCTTTACCGTCAATTCACTTGGATTTTTTTTTTAATTGCCAGAGGATACATGCACTCATCAGAGAGAGAGACAGAGAGACAGAAGGTGGAGGGAGAAAGCCACCTCCAATGGGGTATAGTCATACCACAATTCCTGCTTTCATTTCTCCATCCTGATGAGCGTTGGGGTACACACACACACACACACATACATCAAATGTGTTTTTCAAGCCACTGGGCCAGGACTTGAAGTGCTATCAGCCACATGAGATAGCTGATCTATTATATATATATTTAATTTTTTTTTAATTTGCTAGAGGGGGTGTATGCTCTCCAGAGAGAGAGAGAGAAGGACAGAGGGAAAGTGGCTTTCTTAACCACCAGCCCAATTCCCTTGGATTTCGTAGTTATAAAATGGTCTCTGTAAATACTGAAGATGATTTCCTTCCTTATCAGATCTTGATCATTAAAATCAACAATAGTGGTAAAATGTTACGTCTCGGCGCCTACCTCCCCCCACCTCTCTTGCTGTGACCCTGCTTCTGTCTTCTGCCCAGGAGCAGTACATCTTCATCCACCAGTGTGTGCAGCTGATGTGGCTGAAGAAGAAGCAGCAGTTCTGCATCAGCGACGTCATTTACGAGAATGTGAGCAAGTCCTAGTTCCGAATCCGGAGCAGTAAGTAGAGGGGCCCAGCGTGGGACTCAGTCAGAGAGCCGGGAGGGCACACGATGGGGCGGCCCTCTGTGCTGCCTCTGCCTTCACACTAGAATGTGTGTGCAACCCCCTGCCCCAGAGGGTGGTCACAGGAGAGGCAAATACCACAGCAGATCCTTGAGCTTCCGTGCACCTCGGCTAATGGTAGCAACAAGTAAGAGCTTCTATGATTGGACCTCTCTGCTCTCCACCAGAGACTTAAATTATTCTGCTATTGGATCTGTACCTACACTATCAGAATCTACCAGCCAGCACCGTCTATCTAGACATTGTGTGCGAAGGGTCTGTGTACAAGGGGTCACAATGACATGACCTGGAATGGACACCTCAAAGAGGAAAAGTATTTTTCAAATTTGCTAGAGGGTGTGTGTGCTCACCAGAGAGAGACAAGAGGGAGGGAGAGAGACAGAGGGAAAGTGAGGAAGCATCCCCCCTCATAGGGGATGGCAACGCCTCAATCCCTTCTCAATTTCTCCTTTCATGATTTGGGCACACACACTTCCCATTACCTTCCTCAAGCTGCCAGGTCTGGAACTCAAACTGCCTAGTCAGCCAGGGTGGATCCAGCCACCTCAACCACCGAGCTACTAGCTGGCCCTAGGAAAGATTTTGGGTCATTGGAAACGTCATGACGCATTGTTGCAAAGGAAAATACGTCATGACTTTCCCGATGACCTAATAATATTGCCATTAGAGTCTCAGGATAGCGAAGTCTGAAAGTGCCTTGATCCCATCCATTCGGTGAGCGCTTGCTTAAGAGTCTCATGAAAACAACAGTAACGTATTCACTGGCCTGTGCTCAACTTTTAACTGGGAGGTGGCTGTGGAGGTGGCACGGGTGCTGGCTGAGGTAACAAGCAATCCACCCATTCGCTCAGTAAATAGTGTGGCGTGTCTGAATATCCTGGGAGGGGTTCACCATTGGGTGGGGGGGGTGGGGTGGGAAAGGACCATGGTGCACTGTTAGAAAGACGGGAAAGGGTAAGAAGTCTATGGATCAGTGGACAGTAGGATAGAATCAGATTTGTCACACTCTGTCCATCAAGAGACAGACAGACAGCATGAGGGGACAGGAAGGATCAAGAATACGGAAAGATGGAGGGAGACAAATTGACAGGTAGACGGAGAAACATGAGACCCACAAAAAGCAGAAATTGCACAGAGAATATACGTCCACGTGGGTCATGGAGCTGGGTACAATGACAGCTCGTGAGAGCTGCTGGTGTCCTGAGGGGCTTACTGTCTTTCTCTCTCTCGTTCACAGGAGAGGACCTGACGTGCACCCACCCTCCCTTGCTTCCAGAGTTTTGGGGGAAGGGGGCCCGACTAGTCACTTGCTAAAAAGAGCCCCTATTTCGTAGTATGTGGCCAAGGAGATGAATTCTCATAGAAGCACTGGGAAGACTTAGCCTTAAAGAGCCTACAGTGTCTTTTGGACTCTCACTTCTGGACATTCACTTCCGGACTACTTTCCACAGATCTCCATAAAGGTCAAGACGCCCTACACAGGGCAGGAAGTCCAGAACTTCCGAAGACTTCAGTTGGGCCCTTGGCTGGTTGGGCTGAGTGTTTTGTTAAGTGCAATAATTTTTGTCTGTGTGTGATTTCATCAGAAAGTTGAATTGTTTTCTGCCCACACCAAGGATCAGCCCCATAGCCCAGGCAGAAATAGGCATTGTTAGCATCAAATTGTACCTCATTACTGAAAAGAGGCATGGCCAGGAATGAAGAAATGGCCATAGTACTGGAAGGGAATTGAAGCAGCGATACCTGTACTACAATATGAAATGACCGGATCAGGAGTGGGGAGGGTGGGTGCAGAAGAGAGGGGTTCTACCTGCAGCCCGACCACATAGCTTTTCCTATTCCAAATACGAAACACTGTCATTCGACTTCAAAGTAGAGTAGAGAAAACAATCCGTCTTAATTGTTCTAGTTCTCGATGCTTTTCTTCCTTATTAACAGTTGGGTGTTTCTTCCTTGGCCCTTTCAAGCTAATGTCCCTGTCCAGGTTCTTCTTCAAGAAACCAGATCTGGTTCGGAAGCGTTTCAGATCTGACTCTAAATCTGTGGTTGTCTGAGCGATCTTGGTGCCTAGACTTTGCATTCCTTTTTTTGTTGTTGTTGACATGCATACACGTGAGAGCTGTTTCTTTGAGAATTTTTAGGCTGTGCAAATGCACTTTCTCTCCCCTCAAGAGCTGGGAATTGATGAGATGATGGCGATGAACTATAGCATGTGAGGACAATTACTTGGCTACAGTTTTTTGTAATATTGTCAAGCGTCTCTAAGGATTCCAACAGAGATTTTTCTTTCTGTTTTCTTTTCTTTTGGGGTTGTCAGTTTCCTTCTAACCAGTGTAACTAGTAACATTTTATCCTTTGGATTTCATATAATTACAGTACATGGGTGTGTATTGTGACATGAATGCCATCGTCAAATGGACGTTGATGGCATCGTGAAGCCTGTTACTTTGTGTCACTTCCTGAGAAATAAGAGGTGATGGTATGGATAGCCAGTGGAAAAGATTTTGAGTTGCAAGTAAACACAAGCTGGCAGCTGCACTGTGGTGATGTGGCTCTCTGTGGCTCTCGCGAGCCTTCCCGTGGGTGCTTCCAGGAAGGCCGGCCTCTCTCTGTGTAATTGATCATTGCCTCTCGGTTCCTGATTGCCTTCCTGAAGCCATGTATACTGGATCAGTTTAATAATTTATCACGACCTTACTGATAGTGAAGGATGCCAGATGAACAGCTCCGCACCCCACCGGCTCTTGTCACTGAGAAGGCCTGGTCACAGCAGACCTTGGCAAAGTTCCTTGCAAGATGTGGCCAGCGAGTCTCAGTTCCACCTTGCAGGGTGAATGGCAGAGGATGTCAACACCCCACAGGTGAACAGCTTGGGCTCCACAGGGGTTGTCAGTTTATACTCACCTCCCTCCTCCCATTTCTTGCCTTCCTGTTGCCACCTCCTCCTCTTCTCACTCCTCTCCTTTCCTTCCCTCCTTGGACATTTAATAATGTCACACCACTCTCAGGAACAAACATGATTTTTAAAAGGTGGCAAATATGTGAGCCATCCTTGGAGTTTTCACACGTGGGCAGGTCAGGAGTGAAGTGTGCAGTCTTGGAAGAGCCGATACAAGGTATAGATAAGTGGAAGTACATTTTCTTTTCTTTTTTCTTTTTTTAAGAGAGATTTTTGCTATAGGGTGCGTCCACTTGCCAGAGAGACAGAAAGCAAGAAATCACCTCCTCATGGGGGATGGCCATGCTGCAATCCCTTCTCCTTCATTCATTCTCTCGGGATTTTGGGCATGCACACACGTGTGCCTGATATGAGTTTTAAGCCACCAGGTCTGGGACTTGAACTGTGATCCGCTACGTGGAAGTCCAGTGACATAACCATTATGCCATCTTCTAGTCCCATAAGTCCATTTTCAATACTGCCACACAGGAGCTTACAGAGGTTTTGTAGCCTGGAACATGGCTTCCCATGAAACAAAGCACTTCATCAATCTTTCATGTTCCTCTTGAGCACTCCTTCAAGGTAGAGATCAAACACTGCCAGATCAATTTTCCCAAAAGAACAGAGGAAGTATCTGGAGCTTAGACTGGAGAGTGTGACCTGAAACTACAGAAAGTCATATTAAACTTTACCAGGTCGTTTCCTCAGGAACCTCTGCAGTTATCTCTGTTCTCTGGGACACGAGTGCTCTTCAATGTGTGGAATTTATGGTGGGGAAAGCCTCCATCTATCAAAGACTTGTGCATTAATCTTGATAATGACTTCAGATATGATCTCTGCTGAGTCTCAGTTAATAAGCCAAATGACCCAATAACAGCTCTGTACTTTATAGATATAAGGAGTATTGGATATGATAATTCACCCAAAGGTGCTCTATCTCTTGTTATTTTATGTGATCGAAGGCACTCTAATTAGCTCTGTTTCTACCCCGGGACCCAGTTCTGAGCACTCACAAGGAAGGCTTCCAGGCCCTCTTTATTATTATTTAAGTTCTTTGAGTGTTTCTTTGTAGTCATTTGAGTAGTACTTTATACTCAATGAGCAAGAGGCAGTTCATTACAGCCTGTGTGAAACAGAGAAGGAGCTAAAGACTTAAAATTACAAAATATTGGGGCCAGCAGGTGGTGTGGTATTTAAAGGTGCTAGATTCCCACATGGCCAACCATGATTCGAGTCCCGGACCTGGAGACTTGCTTTCTCGCTTTCCCTTTCTCTCTCCATCTCTCTCAAATTAAAAAATAATGACAACAAATAGAATTAAATAAATAATTCTTTAAAAAAAGATTGACAAAATATTTAAATTTGAGTTGTTACTAAGATAGAATTCCTTGACTACAAAAGATAATTCATAAAGTTAACTGAGAAACTACCATTAAGGTCTAATTAATAAATTTAATAGTTAGCACCCATAACTATAACCATCACAACACATTATATGATTTCCCTTAACTTGAAAAGAGTGATAGACGGCAAAATTTTGTGGGCAATATCCTAACTCGGGATCTACAATTTCTCACTGCAAAGAAAAAATTGTATCCAAAATTCGAAATGGCGTGGTGGTGAAAGGTGCTGGACTCCCACGTGGTTGACTGTAGTTTGAGTCCTGGACCTGGAGGCTGTTTTTCTTACTTTTGCTCCCTCTGTCTGCGTCCTCTCTGTCTCTCTCTATCTCCATCTCTGTCCCTTTCTGGTCAAATGAAAAATAAACAAATTACATAAAATAATTCTTTTAAAAAAGAAAATTTGAAATGAGAAAAGGTACTAAGATTTTTTTTTTTTAATATCAGGTTTTATAATGTTTTTATAATGACAAATTTCCTAAAATTTGTCCCAGCCCCCAAAAGGTGACATAGCTCTCAGAGGAGGTTGCAGTAGCAACATATACAGTAAGAGCCAGAGGCTTGAGATCTGTATTTTTTCGTAGGCCACATGACGGTTGCTTTGCTAGAAGACTGGCCCTTAGCCAGGCAGTTAAAGTTACTGAATCCAATCTGTAAGAGCCAAAATTCTCCCTGCTTTCTAGCAAGGAGGCCTTCCTTTACACCTCGGGAAATGTCTGATGTAATGTGCTTCAAATAGCTGGCTTGGTTCCTAGCTCACAGATCTCTAGTCTGGTGTTTGGCCCAAGGATAGAGTGTAGGAGCCATGCCCACGACTGAACATAACATTCACTTTGGCCAAAGAGGTTACAGAGCAACAAAAACATAACATGCAAGACCTACAAACTCCTAGCCCTAGTTTTTCACAGCTTCGTTTGGATGCATTTGAAGGGAATTCCAGCCATGACATCACTGACCTCTGGCCTTCCAGAACAGTGGCATTTTTGTTTTCTGTTTCAGCTGGTGCTTATCACAAGGCCTTCTCTTGGTGGGTCACTTGATTAGAGATTGAGTATAATGTTCAGCTCTGAGAGCTTTATTATATGAAGGCCCATAATAGACTGAAGGTTGTCCAGGGAAGGGCCCGGGGAACTGTTAGGAATGTGGAAAACCTGGGAAAACTGAGACTATGAAACCTGGAATAAAGGCAGGGTCATTGATTCATTTCATCATTCAATAAATGTTCATTTATCTAAACTTCTTGAAGGAATTGATCAGTCATCCAATGAAAGATTTTTTTTTTTTTTTTTTTTTTGTGAGAGGTTTTTGCTATAGGGCGCGTGCGCTCGCCAGACAGACAGAGAGAGACAGAGAGATAGAAAGCAGGAAATCACCCCCCAGGGGGGATGGCCACGCCGCAATCCCTTCTCCTCCATTCTCCTCTCGGGATCTTGGGCACGTACGCACACGCGCCCGGCGTGAGTTTAAGCCACCGGGTCCGGGACTCAAACCGCGGTCGACTACGTGGGAGTCCAGCGACATAGCCATTACGCTAACTGCTGGTCCCCCAATGAAAGATTTTTTGACCACTTGCAAATTGCTAGGCATTATAGTAAATACAAATGCTGCAAATGCTGGCTTTAGATATATGTTAAAAACTGGACAGTCCCAGGGCCAGCAGGTGGAGCAGAGGTTAAGACACTGGACTCCCACAGGGCCAACCATGGTTCGAGTCTCAGACCTGGCAGCTTGAAACTCAGGCTGGGCATATTTGCGTGTATGCTCAGGAAGGAATTGGGCTGTGGCCATCCCACCCAGGGCAGGTAGGGGATGATTTCTCATTTTCCCTCTTTCCATTTTTGTCACTCTTCAGTAAGCACGTACACTCTATGAGAAAACCTAAAAACAAAAAAGAAGAAGAATGGTCACATGCCGAACTGCGCAGTTCAAATCCTAAGAAAATCACTGATTATTTTCTTAGAAAACATGTATGTGCTGAACATTTCATGCTGGCACTGTGGAAGAGGCTGTGGCTACAAAGTGGGTGTGACAAGGTCCCTAATTCAAGTTTACATTCCAGCAGGGGACATCAGAAGTGAAAATTAGGGCAATAAATGTTACATGTACCATGATAGAAACACATAAAGGATCTGATGTAGGTCCAGGGAAGGACAGGTGATCTTTTTCTGAAAGAGTCAGAAAAGACTATATAATCATATTGACGTGAAAGACCATAGAGTCACATGAACTAATGCAATGTATATTCATTCTTGTGTTCAACAAACATGCATCAAACGCCCACTGTACATTCTTCACTGGGGCCCATGTTGGTACTCCATCCTTCAGTCTTGCCCTCCAAAAACTCCAGAGTGACAGTTACTTTCCAGGTCTCTACAATGCTTTCTTGTGTATCACTCATCAGAATCAGTGGATTTACTGTTATTCACATATAACAGAGCATATTTCCCAGCCCCTTTGTAGTTAGAATGGAGCCACGTGACCAAGTTGTCACTGGAAGATGGGTGTCATGAGCCTCTGCCCCATAAAATCACCCAGAAGCATCCTTCCATCTTTCTCTCTTTTTTTCCTCTCTCTTTCTCTCCCTCCCTCCCCAGCTCTCCCAAGTACATATGGTGGTACCAAAAAATAGAACAATCCTTGATCCCTGAATTACCACTTGGAAGATAGATACTTGCCTACATTGGCTCATGAAGTGATCTTCAGTAGATTTCTGTTGTGTTGACACTGAGGTTCCACCATTGTCAGATACAGCACCAACCTGTCCCTAACTAATAAGGCCACATCAGGATGACCTTCCCAGTCGTGTTCAGCCTCAGTGACAACGGGAGCTCTTCAGGGCAGTGGGCTGTGATTGCCCCATAAAATCTCCTAAAGACCACTTAAAGCTGAAGAAGAGCAGAGCAAGGTTAACTCGCAATGCAAAACGAGGGCTCAAGAAAAGGCCACAGAAGCAGTGATGGTGCTTTTAATAAATAAACTTTTTTGAAAACAAATGAATTCTTTTTCAGAGGTGTTTTTCCAAGTTAGAGTTCTCCTAAACTTTTCTTACTGCTTTCCAAATCCCTCACAAAACCATTGCTTAGGAAACTCACTAGAATATGTAAGTTGACATTACACTATGGTCTCTAAATCAGAGTCTTGGATTCATATTGACAGTAGACTCTAAACTGGTTTCACATCAATAGAAGTCCAGACATCCAGGCGGCCATGTGGTCTGGCATGTGGGGCGATGCTGGGCAACCCAGTCCTTGTGTGTGTCCTGGCAAGTTCCAGGGCCGTAGCTAGGAGCTCAGAGTCAACTGACACAAATATTTCTGTTCAGTTCTAAGGACACCAAAAAAGTCCAAAAGGCTGTTTAAACTAGGAAACGTTAACCACAATCACTACTACCTTTACAGACACAAAACAAAATGGTCTCAGAAGGGTTCCTTCATGTTCAAACCGAACTCAATGGTAAGTCCCTTAACCGTTAACGCAGGAAGCAGTGTGAGCTAGCACCCGGCAGTATGGCAGCACACATGTTTAGAACAAGGCCTTATGGGTGGAAGGGACTGGAGCTAAGACTTTGTTCCTAACTCTGACTCACTTTCTCTAATATATGGAATGGAAATCGCGATGGCACCTTTCTCATAGGGTATCCTTGTCAATTCAGACTTCTACAACCAAGTTCCATAGACCAGGTGGCTGATAAACAACAGAAAAGTCTTTCTCACACTTTTGGAAGCTGGAAGTGTAAGAGCAGGGTGCCAGCATGGTCAGTTCTGGTGAGAGCCCTCTCCTGAGTTGTAGACTTTAGACTTCTTCTGTCCTTTATATGGAAGAAAGAGGTCAAGAGGCCTTTCTGAGGTTCTTTTTTTTTTTTTTTGAGAGGTTTTTGCTATAGGGT